AAAGCATTTGCCTGCATTAAATATGGAAAAAGCTGTTACTAACTTTTTGTTATATGTTAGACTTTGAAGGGTATGAAGGAGAAGGAGAGACTGCAGGCTTGTTTATTGGTTGATTATGTACATGAGCTTTGAGCAAGTAAGAGATGGTCATTAATTCCTGGTATTATCCTGAATTTTACAGAGGTTGTCCTGATAGCATGTCAAGGTTTTGGGATGTTTGGCTATAACTAAGTATAACTTCTGTGTTCACCCTTTTATCTGTTCCAATCAAGTTCTTTATCTGGGTCCATTACCATGATGCTCTAAAATCTCACAGCATCCAAAAAGCCCTTAGTAGGGACATTGCTTTGGAACTAAATTACTAATAAAACAATCCATTATGATTCTTTGTAAGGCCTCATTTTTTATCATTATAAATCTCTTGGTCATGCTGTTGCCATTGGAGGTGATTACAGTTTAGAAATGCTAGCCATGCTTCCATAAGTAACCCAAAAGACCATGAGTTTCTCACCATGCTTGAGCAGGGTAAGGTGGCCTAACATCAACCTCCCTTTATTCCCCTGAAGTGGAGAGCTCAGACTGGTACATCCATCATGAGCTATTGCCAAGTTTCAGGTTGTTACCTTACTGGGCTTCAATCGCTTGTCTTTACTTACATGTCACTATTTTAATGAAATCGGACAATATAGAAGTAAAATGTATTGCACACATGCATTCTGGGCTCATAGTTTTTTTGTTTTTCTGTCCCTCACCCCCCCACCCCTCCCAAGGTGTTAACACAGAGGCTGTCAAATAAAGGAGCTTTTGCCAAGTAACTTTTAACGAAGCTTCCATGTAACATCTTTTTTTTTTGAGTGATACTAGATGAAAAGTCTGAAATGGAAGAATACATTGTTTGAAATCTAATTTGAAATGAAGTGTTCAAAAGAAGCATTGCAAGAGCTGCCAAGATCCAGAATCTCAGGCTGGAGTTAATGAGTGAGGATGCTATCTGCAAAGAAAGTAATGTGAGAGATACTTCTAAAGATCGAATAAGATCAGCCTTGTAGCTGAGGAGATGCTTAACATTTTGGAAGACCACAACATATTAGCTTGAAAAAAAAATCAAAGAAATAAATGTCCTTCAGAAACTTCTGTCTTCTAATAAGTCATGACAGAGACATCTGGAACTATACTGCCCATTACCCACTCACTTTTCAAACTTTCCTGGTGCTTTGCAACAAGATACAGAATGGCACTTTAGTCCCAGTTCAGTTACATGAAATGCAGCTATTCCATAAAATTAGGATTTTACCCACAATCCACTTCTGTGGTTTGTTTGTTTGTTTGTTTGTTTTTTCTTTTCTTCCTGATTTTACAGTTTTGTCTCTAAAAGACAAGAGGAAAATATTGATAGATTTTTTTAAAGTCTTCTTAAAATACAGAAATACCATGGAATTTTTACCTAAATTCAAATTCAAGTAGAATATGAAATGAAGTCCAGAAGAATATTTTGCTCTCTTACTTAAACCAGGACAAATGGCACCTGAGGTATGTTGAATAAAAATGTGGTGGGGAGAGAATCATAAAATATTTATCATTTATTTTTTCCATTACAAGTACATTTAGATAAGAAAGCCATGCCAGTTTAACATGTTCAGAAGAGACTTTAAAATGTTGCAACTTCTTATTTGGACTCTGATTTCATTCTGAGAGAGGTTTATTTTAATTTATCTTACACCTGTTCCTGGCAAGTTAAACTAATGATGAAATGATCTGCCTGCCTGCCTTTCCTGCCACCGAGGGAAACACAGCCAGGATGGGCTGTTTTCAGAAATGGAGACACGATTTTTCCCTATTCCCAGCCAGATGAGTGGTTTCGTGGGGAGGAGTTTGTGGGGAGGTGAAGAAAATGAGAGAGAAAGGTGTGAAAAAAACTCCAGCAGACTGGGAAGGTTCTCTTCCCTCCTTCCACTGTTTTTAAGCTTATGCCAATGTATTTTCTGCTTACCTCCCTTCTTCACTCCCTTCTCCCTTTGCCTCTCTTCATCCCTACCCTCCATCTGGAAAGGTATACATGAGTAGGTAACTCCCTTGGACCAATACTAAAGAGAGGGAAAAGATAGCTATGCTGTTGTTGGCTTCTTTATTGCACATGGTCAGAGGGGACCAGAGACCCTCAGTGGGGAAGGAGGGCAGAGGGTTCTCAGCAGTGCACAGCAGATGTAGTACAGCACTGGGTGGACTGATTTAACTTGAATTTTTCGCACTGGTGGACCTCCAAGAAACTTCTTGTTATAACAAAAGCTATCAGAGTTCCTGGAATGAGAAGGAGTAAAGGAAGAGGCAAATCACCTGCTTCTGTGAAAACAATATCATGTTGAGAGTGGTTGAGAGAAACCAAAAACCTCAGTAAGCACTTTAATTGAGTCCAGACCAAATGCATAATTCCTAATATTTGGGTGACTTCATTCTTTTTAAAGTTTTTCTGATGAATTTTGATTTGCTGCTAGCTGATGCTACCACTAATTAAAAATGGGCTGTTATATTGCTGCTCTGCTCAGAGTAGCAGGTAACAAGGCAAGCTAACTGTCATAGTTTTAGTAACCAGAGATAATCTTTATTCAACACAATCCATGGCGCTCATGGCTTTCTAGCACACCCTCCATGAGCCTCAGATCCAGATAAACACACTTAAATATAGAAGTTTACCTGTAGGTGGGTAGGTGTGTGCTGCGTATCTATACCTCCAGCACATCTGGTCAAGACCTAGGGCTTAGTTCAGCAGGGTAAATAGAGGTGTCCTCTGCTACTTGATATTCCCTGTTCTCCAGCTACTTCTCCTGAAGGGCATAGGCCTCCCAGGTCTGAGGGCATATCTACCGGACCTAGTAGATATCTCAGATATTTTGGGGCATCTCAGATGGCATTGGACAAATAAATTCAGGCAGCAGAATCAATCCTTTTTTTTGTGCCAGTCCCAGAGCATGAGTCAGCTGAGCAGCCGTCAGGAGCCTCCCTGAGGGTTAGCTGCACCACTCTCAGTTGACGTGATTACCTTTTTCTTCATGGGGAATTTAGACACCCGGTGTACAAGCAGACATCTAAATTTAAATGTGGAGCTGAACCCTACCCCACCATTTTTTATGATCTCTGTTAGAATTGTTGGTATCTTTAACTTTTCCCAGTCAGTTATCCTGCTACTGAATTCTTACCCAGACCTGCTGTATCAGGTTACTGTGCTCTTGAGACTTGCACTGTGCAGGGATACCCTAGGAGATATTATCTATCTGTGGCTCTTCCTGATCTCTAAACCCATTGGATTTACAGCTGGAAGCAAATTCAGTTTTACAGCAGCCAACTATATAGTGGCCAAATATGATCCATCTGTGTAGAAGCCAAATGCATTGTAAACTCTCAGAGCATAAGACAGGCAAAAGGTCAACCAAGCCTAGTAAAACTGTGTCCAGCAATGACACTAGGACAGTAGCTAATAATGAACAGTTAGGGAAGATCACAAGGACAAGCATATAGTGATAATTGTTTCTCAGCCTCCAGAGGCCTTCTACTCGGAGACTTTGATCTTGACATTTATTAGATCCAGATTAAGTTTTCTCCCGTGAGATTGTCCAGTTGATTTTGAACCCATGTAAACTTTTAGCAACTTGTGGCAAGGATTTCTGCAATTTAACTGGACACTCCTTGAACAACAGGATTTCTGTACCCTTAGTAGTGTAATAAGATGGCAAAGCTATCCGTAGGTGAGTTCAGAGAAACTCAGGATGTTTGCAGGAAAGGATACTTGGACCTCCACTACTTGCTGTTTGCTGCGCAGAATGAACCATGACCATTTCCTACCAGTCCTGGAACAGGCTGAGGAGAGTCTCCTGCTTGTAGGTGAAGCCAGTCTCTATTGCTGCTCTCCTGAGAGGTTCCTTTCACTTAGCGGCATGTTCTTGATCTCTAGGAGCTATGCTTAACACAAGATACCCAATACAAAAGAAGCAAAATTCGTGTCAACATGAAATTCTCACCTGTGGATATGGCTTTATGTTATCTTTGCATATAAGCATACAAACAGCACAAAATCCTAAGATTTAAACCAGGTATATCTTACAAAGGCTCTTTCAGTTTTTAAAGGTCAGGAAATTAATGATGAGGTGACGAAGTAACAGAGTTTGGACTGCCCTTTTCCACTCTCTGCCCACCAGTATGTCTGCCCCAGTCATCACAAAAGAACATTATGCCTTCTCACAGTATCCATGTGCCATCACCGTGTATCTTCTCATCTTCCTTTAAATGCTGTTCTGGCTCAAAGGGCAGTTGGCTGATTAGTTCATGCAGAACAAACCCGCTCTCACAGTTTGAATCTGTGACCTGAAGAAATAAATCCTAACACTTGCTGAGCTGAAAAAAAAAAAAAAAAAAAAAAAAAAGTCCTTCCAGACTGCCAACTGAAAGAATGCTTCTGAGTGCCCAGCACTATATTTTTTCCTTTCCGGGAAATGGTACATCAGGGGAGTTATGTCCAGAAACTACATGCCTGAATCACACAGTGTTTGTACTCATAGGAAACTAATATATGTGTTTGTAAGTCTGGTTCCACTGAAGCAGCGCTTTTTTTTATTTCTTTTTTTTCTTTCTTTTTTTTTTTTTTTTCTGTCTTTTCACAGGAAAGTTGCTATGAGAATAAGTATAAGGGGAAAAAGTTCACATCCATCTACTGATGTGTACAGGTTGCTACACCAGGTTTCAAAGTTCCAACATGATGATCCTTCAACTCTGCTGCTCTTATTCATATGTTTTCAAAATTGCTCCTCTCAGTTTTTACCCTGCAGATCTCTCAAGACACATTTTGACACAAGTCTTCACCTCACACTCCTGCCTCAAACAGGTTTCTCTGTGCTTTGAATCTAACCCACCACAAGTCTCACTTTAGTCCCCGCAGTCAGCTCATGTACATAAATGTTCTATTGATTGGTACGTGGACATTAATTTTTTCTATAATATATTTCTTTCAGACATCATTGTTCTCATCGCTTCAATAGCAGTTGTTTCTGCAAAAACTCAGGGTAACATTTTTGCAACATCAGCACTGAGAAGTCTTCGTTTCCTACAGATCCTTCGTATGGTGCGCATGGACCGAAGAGGAGGCACTTGGAAATTATTAGGTTCAGTAGTTTATGCACACAGCAAGGTACGTAATCCTAGGCACTGAATCTGATGTCTTCACTGGATTCCACAAGAATCCAAGGAAAAAAATATTTACCAGTTTTGACCACTATATCTAGGATTTCATGAAGTAATATCAATTGTAATGGGCACTTGCACAGACGTTGTGAGGCTATGTTAAATACTAAAATGTTGTGCAATATGTTGAAAACTTTGAACTTGACATGCCACTGTAATTCTATATACATCAGTAAAGATCCTGGAATATCAAATTATCGAGAGTAGATTTGGTCTGTTTTTAAGAAAATTTGCATCAATAGGAAAGCACTTGACTTTTAACTACTCAAATGCCAAAAAACATATATAGATGTTTTCATTATGTCTTCCTTAAAATGCCATTCTGTTCAGTCTTTCAAATGGATATTGATCTCTGCTTTCTTTTATCTAGGAATTAATCACAGCCTGGTACATAGGATTTTTAGTACTCATCTTTTCATCTTTCCTGGTTTATCTGGTGGAAAAAGATGCAAATAATCAGTTCTCCACATATGCGGATGCTCTGTGGTGGGGCACAGTAAGTATACAAAAATTATACATACTGCTTAACACTGGTTTAGAGTGCTTTAGATTCCATCTACTGTTGATTTTAACTTAGTGTGCTGTTCAGTGAATCATTTTCACTGGCAGAAAGTCAGTCTCAGAGGCTACAGTACTCCAGCTTTTCATTTGCACATCCATAGTTCATTTTACCCCATCTTGCAGAACAGCTGTTTATGAGTTTCTGCTGCAAAACAGATCAATGAACCTTCCAGAGAAGAAAGCGTTTTATTTTGTAACCCAGATTTTTCAGTAACACATTTTCTAATATTATCCCACAAGGAGCTGCTTTGATCCAAATTAGAGAGCAACAGGCTTCGGTGCAAGAAGTGTCAGGAAAGAAAATGAAAACAAAATTCTTACATCAGCTTTGCGGTCAAAGGACGTATTTCATCAGTGCCCTTTAGAGCAAAGCTGTTTCTCCTTCCCCGCACCTTGAGCACAAAAAGAACAAATATTCCATTCTGGTTCAACAGTATACTCCAATCATTTTTACAGGTGTAAAAACCCTTATTTAGTTGAACATTTAAGCTCTTCCTTACCTATCAAATCAACTGCTTTTACTTTGTTGAAATCTGTGGGATCCAAGTACATGCCTGACTGCTTTTCTGAAAGAAGGAGGATTATACGAATGCTTACATGTATAAACAAACAAGTCTTTAAATGAACAATGGGGACTTCGGTCTAAGCATTTGATTTACTTTTTTATGGCATAATGTATAGCTTCTTTTTTTTTTTTTCCTAAAAAATGCCTTGTAATGAGCTAGACCCCTGTACTGTGTGGGAGTTACTTAAGCAGCTTAGGAAATTTGTCCCAACAAAGCCTATTGCAGAGCTATTATTGTCAGGCAGTAAAAAAAAAAAAAAAAAAAAGGTGTTGTTTTTTTTTTTTTTTTTTTTTTTTTTTGGTCCAGTATAACAAACACTGTGAGCTCTGGCAGTGTCTGGACAGTGAAATGAGCCTGTGAGATCATTAATGCTGACATAACCAAGAGCACTCATTAGTTTTCCTGGGAGAAGTGTGAGAGCTGAACCAGCCTCTGCCACCTTTCCTCATCAGAAGGATGTAGAAATGAAGCTTTGTCACCTCAGACCCTCTGTCGACAGGCCTGGATTCTCAGACTCAGAGCTGTGCAAAAACCTTTTTCAAAATACTTTAAGTCTTTGAGAGATACTTTTAATAAGTTTCCTTTACATTTTGGGCAAAGGTCAAGGTCATTTCCCATTAGTATAATTAGCTTGTACATTTGAAATTTGTTCATCTCAGGGATAATCATTTATTACATGTCTTCCCTAAAGACTGTATTTTTGTGCTATTGCACAACACTGGGGAGCCTGGAAAATCCACACCAAACAGCTTTTATTTGCACATCTACAAAAGGACAAAATATTTTTTTCCTGAAATGTGTTACTTTAGAGCATCAAGGCAGATCTCTAATAAAATACATGCTTCTATCCTGCAATGGGAATGCACAGAAGATTCATCTTGGCTAAAGCCATCACAGCAGGATTTGCCCTCAGTCACACTGCCATGGGTTGTTCTGTGGTTTGTCTATCTGTAACTGAAATAATTCAGTCCGTGCAGGAGGAGAGGCACTTCTCTTCAGAAGGTGAGGTGCAGATTTGGCTCACGGCAGTCTGACCTGTCTGTGTTGGCATCATTGTGAAGCATCTGGCTTGGGATGTTGGTGACCTTGCTGATGGGTACCCAGGCTCTGGTAGTCTGCAAACACCATTGCCTTTTTGTAGGGTGGAAGTGGGGACATAATACTGCAAGACGACCTCCTGAGGTCATGTAGATTGGATGTGGTGGCACATGGGTCTGGGAAAGTGTGCATCTTCAGCTGTTTGATTCCCCAGGAACAACCCTCTACATCTCTGCAAAGCCATGTGTGACTTAGCACTGGGTAGGCAGGGATTTGGGGCTAAGCACAGGATTGTACCCACCTGCCAATAGGCACTAGTGAGGGGAGACATTGCACAAGGAACTGCTAAGTCTGAGCAAACCCAGACTTCAACTCTGACATCTGAGCGAGGCTTATGTCAGACGCAGATCCTTCTTCCAGAGCAGGTCTCTCAGCAGGACTATGATTTTTATTTTAGAATTTGCTTCTCTACTACCTGCTGACTGCTATTTTTTAAGGAAAAACCCTGCTAAGAAATAATCATTGTATAAAGTGGTGCTTAAAATATTTTGTATATTTTGTACTATGAAGTGAGAGTGCATGATTCATAGGTCAGATAAGTAGTGCAACTGAGAAAATAGGAATCTTTTCTCAACATCAGCAGGAAAAACAACAAATTATAATAAAAAATCTGAAAACAATCTATAATGTATATTTCTATACCTTTTCTTCTTTTCTTCCAGTGTGACATGAATATATTTAATTTTTTAATGTGCTTAAGTGAACAAAGTTACTGAAAATCAGAGTTCCCTCTTACCTGTTATCTTCGCATTTTAATAATAGTATTTTTTGTATAATATGTAAAACAGTATGTGGGAAACGCATAACGTGCTTCTTAGTCATGGTTGTTTTTACTGCCAGAGTAACCCACATGCAGATTTTGAAAAGGTCAGATTGTGTGGCATTCTAGGGGAAATCAATGCTCAGTCTCATCGATTTGTTTATTTGCAAAAGTTGTTCTCACTTAAACCATGGTGTATCTACCAAATCCTAGTCCGAATTCTGTGATGGCAGAGGTAAAAGAAAGAAAGAACTGCATTGAAGTCAAGCACAAATAGTCTTCTTAAATCTCAAGCTTTTAGAGGCACTTATGCCCTGCACTACAGGACTAGAACCAGCATGTGGCAATTAACCCATTCATTAATTCAGATAATTCAAGTGTGTACCCTGCTATGGTCATTTCACTAATTCCATTTCTGAAGCCCATAGTTTTACACTGAGACAAAAGGCAGGATATGGCATACTAATTTACATCTGAATACTGCACTGTATTTGCAGTTGCACATTGTACTGTGCAACCTGCAGTTTAAGCATCATGCTAATGTTTCTATTATGAATATTCTTATGGTTGGAGTCCCCACAGTGCTGCTCAACACAGCTTAAAGTGTGTGTTGTATGAAGAGTTCAAGCTCAGAAATTGCTTTGCTAGTGATGGTAAATTTATTTAACAGAATAAAATAACAAAACTATATGGGAACAAAAAGTCCATACAAAAACTTAAGTTTTTCACAATCAAACCATGCATGATTTTCTAGAACTGTTAGTGTTAACTAGAACTGAGTGTGCCTGTAGTGGCATCGAGTTTGTATGTTAAGTAGTTTTACCTGCAAATTAAGACTCTTAATTCTCCTATGCATTTAACAGTGTTTCTCTTAATATATCATTTTTTAGCAGTATACAACAGTAATGGTAGGATACAGAACAGCTCTGGGACTCCACAGTGACCTGTAGGTGAACAAAACAAGTTAGGATGAATAACATTTTTGCAATTACTAGCTCAAATGAGTTAATATTGATGGCATTTTTCCCATTTAATGTGATGATAGTCTGAGCAAACCACATTTTTTCAGTTAATAGATGTCAGGTAAATATTCAAAAGGTAAGTTCTGCTACCAGAACATAAAATTATGTCAGAAATATTAGGATAGAGGGGGAGCCTCTGGGCTCTATCTCATCTGACTGAAGGCACTGATGTTACATAACCTAATTATTATAGGGTTGCACACTGGAACAGGCTCCCCAGTGAAGTAGTCACTGCACCGAGCCTGTCTGAATTTAAAAAGTGATTGGACTGTGCACTTAGTCACATGGTCTAAACTTTTGGATAGACCTGTGCGGTACCAGGAGTTGGACTTGATCCTCATGGGTCCTTTCCAACTCAGGATATTCTATGATTCTATGATTCTATTGTCTCACTTATTATTAGCTTATTTATTAGCTCTAGCAATGAGATGTAACACAAGTTCTACCATAATGATTTTTGAATCTAGTTAGGTGGCAGTGCCTTCCTTATCCGATCTGTCCAGTCCTGCATTTCAGGATATGAAAGAATCTTTCTTTCCATTGTGCAAGTTTGTGTGACCAGATTATACGGAACACCCAGATATTTTATGTTTCAAGTTAGGTGAAATGAATCCTATCCAAAGAAAGAAACTCTAGAAGTTTTGGTTTGTTGTCCTCATTTAGGCTGGGGTGAACAGACATGGGGCTGTTAGGCTGGTATCCCCAGTAAGACAAGATTTGCAAACCTTCCTATCTCTTTTACTGTTTCTTAATCCTTTTTTTACCACATTCCTTTCTCTGCCCCAGCCTCTTCCTAAATAAACAACCTGACCCTAATTACTTCCTCAAGTTTGCTACATCCATACACAGATTTTGTATTTCTGATACTGTTACCTAGTTGCTCTTGTCTTCGTGTTGTGTTAAAGATACAGCTACTTAGATGGTATTGTCCTTGCAAGATTTAATCCCTAAAAGGTCCGTGATAGGGCATGGTGCTGACATCTATATGCCCATTTAAAGAACATCCTGAGATAAAACAGCTCAAAGTGATCAACAAGATACTGATACTCTCAAGCATTGACTGATATCCATTCTTCAGGACCTAAAAGAATGAGAGAAAAGCCTTTAATATGGTTCTATTATTTTCTTTGGAGAAATTCCAAAGATGTAGTCTGTATGACTGCTCCTGGTTTTGGATTGCTCTCAGATACCAAATCCCAAAGGTTCAAGTTTATCTTTGACTCCTTCAGAAGATGTTAGTGGCAATATCATTAATATGCAGATGGCAGTTCTGTTTCCTTCTTGTCGGCCCAGGCAGGAGATATCTTTGTACTTTCCAGCATCTAGCAGAGATAGGGAGCTGGATAGAAGCCAAATAACTGGGCTCATTCCAGAGCTTCAAATTGCTTCACAATGATTGGCCTAGAAATGAATTTTGAAGAACTTTTGTTCAAGGGATTCATTTGTTCAAGTGCTTCATTACTCTCTGGGTCTTAATAGCTTCAAACCGTTCTGCATTTGCCCTCTAATGTGAAAAGCTCAGAATATCTTGTTCACTAAACCAAACCAAACCAAACCAAGCCCCTCTGTTGGTCAAAGAGTGTGGGTGCATCAGTTCACCTCTGCCAGAAGCAAAGGGAGCATTCCCATCTCCTTTCCTTCTAATCACTCAGTCTCAGCAATGCTTTTCCTTTGACTGCCTTGTGCAGACCCTGGTGCTTTTCAGACATCTCTGTGAGCTGACTCAACTCACCAAAACAGCAGAAGTGAACCACACAAAATTTTGGGTAGTTCTCTCCACTTTCTTGGGTTGCATTGGCTCTCTCAAGAGTCTGGCAAAGGCTAGAGAAAGGGGATGAGGGCAGGGATGTGAAGAGGTGCAAGGAAGGAGAGCGAGACCTGATAAGCACCCAAGGTGGTGGAGAGTTGCACCTGCCTCCGAGCTAGCATTACTAAACTTGAGACTTGATAACCACTTGAAATTTCAGCTGTGGCCTTAATTCAGCTCACTCTCTTTTAGTCACTATGGCTTTCTCAGGGTAAATTACACCCGCAGTTTGTTCCCAACAATGGGAGCAATTAAAGGCACTGTTTACTATCTACGGAGCCTTAAATAGTTTAAATCTAATTACTTCCAAAAGACTTTCCTTCTTTTGTCCTGTGGTGACCCCTGCATTAAATAGAATTGCTTTGGCCGTCTTTCATAGGAATGAACTTTGAGGAAGCTGGAAGCAAAATATTGTCTCTAGAAGGCATTTTCCTGAAGAATTCATTCCTGCCAGAATATTTGCTAAGCCTGAACTTGCCCACATTTGGTACACGATGTAAAATAATTCTCTGTGCACATGTTCTCAGCTAATAACAGACCCTGGAGTCCTTGGCACTCAGCCTACTGTTGTCTATCTTTGTCCTTTAACATCGTGTGCCGCTGCCTGATCACGCGCCTCACAGCCTTTCACCCGGCCTTTGGAAACCCTCTGCTCAGCCAGCCTGCTCCTGGCACCCACATCGAGCAGCGGGCTGGGTCCGTGCTCCCCAAAAGGGAAGCACAGAGACGTGCCTATCCCCAGCTGATCTGGGCCCAGGGCCTGGGACTGGCACACCTCCCGGGCCAGGAGCAGGCTGGAGGACATTCCCTTGGGCTGGGGAAGATCCCCAGCCACACACAGACATGAAGCCATAATCTTTTGCTTTGTTTTGACTTAGAGACATGCTCTGTAGGCCACAACCACATGCCGGTATCCCAGCAGCCCTTGGAATACGTGCTGCATATCTACGTGACCTGCAGTCAATGCATTGCACGTGGAGACTGAAGCACAAGAAGTTCCAGCTGAACATGAGGGGACACTTCTTTACTGTGAGGGTGACAGAGCGCTGGGACAGGTTGCTGGAGAGTTTGTGGAGTCTCCTTCTCTGGAGATATTCAAAACCCACCTGGATGCCATCATGCACAATGTGCTCTAGGTGATCGTGCTTGGCAGGGGGGTTGGACTAGATAATCTCCAGAGGTCCCTTCCAACTTTGGCCATCCAGTGATTCTGTAAGACCCCTCTCATATGCACTAAACTCTGCCATCACCTGCTCTGGTGTCATCTGCATTTGGAATTGTGCCTCTGAACACACTGTCCACATGAAAGAATTACAGATGCCTTCCTCTTTCTCCTTGACCTCTTCCCACACAGATCTGAGCTGACATTGTCCAACAGCCTGAGGACCTGTTGGACCTTGGCACAACCGGGTACTGTGTAGTGTCTTTGTATAGTGTAGTGTCATGTCAGGAGTCATGTACGTATATCTGAGCTTGGGAGAAGGAAAGGGAAAGGACCAGGAGTTTCTTACAGTTCCTTCCAGCTTTTGATTAGCATTTTTTGTGTTTCAAGTGACCTAGCTCGAATTGTACTGACAGGCTTGTAGAGAATGCAACTGCTTGTATTTCCATTGGCTTCATCTTGTCTATGAACTTCAACTTCCTTTTAGTCCTGCTGTATTTCTCCAGTATGGTACCTCTGTAATTTATATTCATGTGGTTGGGCAAAGACATACAGCCTTGCTGAAAATGGGTGAAATATCTCTACATCTACTGAAAAGGAACATTTTTTCAGCCCAACTCACATCATTTCCCATCATTTGCTTCAACTGTGAGATCACAGACCTTCGAATCTATTATTTATTTATTGCTTATTGAGGCATTTTTCTCATGTTTATTATTTATCTCAGTTTATTTATACATAGACAGTATTGAGTCTTCATAGAAAAATGAATTCATATTATTTATGTTTGCCTTTTTAGAAACAACCATATATATTTCATGTGTCTTGAATTATTTAGTGGAAATGCTGTTCCATGCAATGTATATAATCCGAAACTAAGCTCTCAGGGACCTCCAGTAAACCTTGTTCTTTTTTTTTTTTTCAGATCACATTGACAACCATTGGCTATGGAGACAAAACTCCTCTTACTTGGCTTGGAAGGCTGCTTTCTGCAGGATTTGCTCTACTTGGCATTTCTTTCTTTGCACTACCTGCTGTGAGTATGCTTAAAAAAAACTGTAATAGAAACTTCAGTAGCTGTTACAATACAAAAAGCTGAAGGAAGCTTTATACATGAAGAACAACTGTTTAAGACCTTTTGCTCTGTGACAACATTGGTGAACTGGTAGCACCCAAACAAAAGGTTTGGTGTTGCTGTCATTACTTGAATTTTGGGGATTTTTTTGAGCAAGGACAAAACAAGCAAATAATACTAAATTAGTTAACATACTACTCTGTAAGACTGAAATTTCTTTCTTTTGTTATGAATTGTGACTCATACATTAGCACTTTTCTTTCAGAAGTTTAAAAAAAAAAATCAGCCAATATGTTTTTCTGGATTAGTTTGTATTGAAAAAAAGTAGGACAATTCTCATTTTTGTGAGTATAATCTACAACTGTGAAAGACTGAACTTCCTTCCTTTTTCAAAACAGTGTGAAATAAGCATGGAATCAGAAGTGATATTTGTATTTTTTTTGTATTCCATCCAGTGCAATACCTATGGAAAATCAATATTTTAATACTTTAATAATTTATAATATAATTATAAAATATATATGTTATAATAATACAGTTGTTTTTAACCATATAGATAAATCAAGTGTAAAAGTCAGCATTTGCCAAATGTATTGAATCATCTAGTGTACTACATTTGTTTCTTACTTTAAGCAGGGGGAGTATTTCAATACCTCTGACATTATAATGCGTTATAATTATAATTATATTACATTACCTGTTTGTGAATCTTTGACATTTAATGGCAGCTACTGTAATTAATTCTCTTTGTTACCTAGTCACCACTAGCAAGAAAGTTAGTCTTAGCAGGACCGTAAAGAAATTGAAAAGATGAATAACTTTACATATCTGAGATGCCACAACTTCTATTCCTCATGTCATATGCTATATACAGAAACTGATTTTCCTCACAAACACTTTTGTGCTGAATCTGTCTGTAAAACAAGAGATATGTCTGAACCTTTTGTGCAATTCTAATGTTGTTTTATCCTGACTGAGAGTCAAGTGGAAATGTTCTTTCTTATAACACAGGCATGTATGTCCAGCAGAAATGTTGCACTCCTTCCAAGCCAAGGAGGGAAACATTCTCAGTCTTTGCATCTATTTAGCAGGAGTCAAATTTATCTTACTTATTCAAGAGTAAAAAAGACAAAAGGGGAGACAGTTTACTGTTTTTTTTGTTTGTTTGTTTTTTACATTCCTATAGAATGAGCATTGAGGATTATTTAAATAGGAAAAAGTGAGAGGAAATGGTCTTAATCAGTTAAACAAGATATTTTTTTAACATCTTTAAAATCAAAAGCTAAAATAAGCAGTGCAGATACAGATTTTGTAGTCCATATATATCTGGCATATCTGGCAGCTGGTCATTTCATCATTCTTGGCTTAAGTTCCTTTGAATGTTCCTGCCTGACTGTATATATATATTTGTATGTGTTTGTGTGGCCTTTAGATTTGCAGGAACATAGTGTAGCACAAACCCTAGTGATGGTTGTGATAAGAGGTCGCTGATAGCACCACAGAGGTCACTGATAGCACCACTCCTCTTAAGGAGTCTCCTGTCTCACTATGAATGGGCACTGTTGTTAAACTTTGTACAGCCATATACCATCATAAATGTGTTATCTGAAGTACACAAAGTACGCGTAAATTTACTTTAGATCAAACCTTTGTATTTGATTGTGTATTTTTATAGAAAAACAAAAAACAACAACAACAACAACAACAAAAACTACCTACTAAAAAATGGTTTCTTGTATTTCAGGGCATTCTTGGTTCAGGATTTGCATTAAAAGTGCAGGAACAGCATCGCCAGAAACACTTTGAGAAAAGAAGGAATCCAGCTGCCAGTCTAATTCAGGTAAATATAAAATCAGAGAAAAGATAATAGTAGAGGATTTAAAGTACATACTGGAGCAATTTGTAATATTTTAATTTGTGGAAATAATGTTTAACAGAATTATTAATTTCATGAAACATGTTTCTTCAATGATTGCAGTGTGCTTCCATAATTGTGTATAAAGAATTTCCATGTGCAGTTTATGAGTTCTTCCATCCCTGATGAAGAAACTGAGTCAATCCTGTAGTTGATGAATTAGAATTGATCCCTGGAGAACACAACTGACAGAACAGTACTCTTATCTATATTAAGCTAGTTTTCACTATTACAGGGATAAGAGTGCTCCGGTGAGTGACATACTTGGTGAAAATGAAGTGCCCTATCCAGAGAACTGATTTCAATATTAGTCAATTCAAAAGCTAGAAAAGTAGGCACAAGCAATTCCAAAATGTCTGATTTTTTTTTTTAAGTGGTTTCAGCTCCAGTGTCAACATCATGGTGCCAGTCAATGATTTGGAATACTTTTTAAGCAAATGCAGCATAATATCTGTTAAGCAGCATTTTTTTTTTTTTTTTTTTTTGCTTAACTTACTTAAAAATGAGCAAATCTTATAAAGAATGTGTTTGCAACAAGCTTTATTCTATTTGATGCATTGGGAAAAAAATAGGAAAAAAAAAGTGAAATAATCTTCTAACATCCTAGTTTATTTTCTTGTGAACACAAGTGTTTTATGTCTACTGCATATGCTCTTTGTTTGTTGTTTGTTTTCATTCTGAAATAATAAATCCAAATAAAGAAGCTTCTCAGCTGAATACACTAGAGTTCCATGTCAAGTTCAAATTAGATGCCAGGATGTTTTTGAAGCATTCTTAATGTTCATAAATGCTTTCCATTATTTGTGTTCAATGCTTACTAAATATTAAGTATTTGACACTCAATATTTATTAGAATAATTAATAAATATAAATCTGCTCTTTTTGAAACTATTGTACTGTACATGTAGAATGAGTGTCTGGGATATTTTCTAAAACATATATTCTAATCAACTTCTATCATGAAATTAAAGTTCGTTTGACAGAGGACAGATGTAATAGCCTTAGGCTTTGGATGTAGCTCTTCTTATTGTTATAAGACAGTCCAACCAAAATAATTGTAAGACAGTATGCTAAATAAATTAAGAGTAGCCATCTGACCTCAGAAAGTGACTCTTGATGGGCAAAACTGCTGTGAAAGAAAGACATTTGTTGTGGGATCCCAAAAGTGAATGTTGGTTCAGCATTTTCATGTCCATTTTCACATTCAGCATTTTCAGTTATTTGGAAATTAATATAAAATTGCTGATGGAGATATTGCCAATATAGAAATTTGCCAGTATATGGCAGAATAGTAAAGATGAGGGCAGGCACATAGGAATGACCCTGAGTATGATCAGGATGACTTTATAGGCTGGAATGATTCCAACAAAATGACTATATATTCAACACAAAACTGTTGATCTAGAAACAATGAATTCAAGGTATTTATACAGGACTCCATCCTAATATTAGAGACTCTGGAAAGCATGTGACCACGGGTGAGAAACACAGAGGAGAAAGAGTACAGGAGAAGGGTCTAGAGCTTCATACAGGTTACCAATACGTTACTCCTCCAAGGTTAATCACAGTCTTTACATACAGAACAAGAAATGTATTAAGTAGATATGGTTGATATTACCCCATACATAATGCAGCTGGTACTAACACCCTATATATCTTCTCAACAACCACAGTTTGTAAAGGAGGTTGCACAGTTGGAGAAAACAAAATTAAAAAAAAAAAAAAGGGAAGAAGAGAAAAAAAAAAAAAAAAGAGCACTTTTCTGGAGAAAAGTTCATGTTTAGAAATGTAGGGTGTATCTCAACTGTATATTATCTACTGTAACAGTGCCCATTTTTTTTAATTGTCTATTTTGTATATTGACAGTGAGCTACCATGGAAATCAGTGCTTTAGTTTGTCATAATAATGTCTATTTTCTAAGTGACTGTGCAGAAATAGTCCATGCTAACTTCTATGTTGCAATAGATACACTGTGTGCTAAAGGCTATACCTGGCTGAAAGATAGCTCAACTATCACAACAGAAGACTGAAATGTATAATATGAACATGCTTTTCTCAATTTGTTTAGCTTATAAGAAGCAAACAGTGTGAATATTATTTGAATATATAAATCCAGAGAGGAAGTGTCGGAAACTACAGGACTATTTAATGTAGCAGACAGAAACATAACAAATTTATCTGGCTTCAAGCCAAAACCAAAGAGCTTCAAATTGAAAATAATGCAGAGATTTTTTGACAAAGAACGATCAAGCAGTGGAACAATTTACAAAGTAAGTGATAGCCTCTTACTCTGTAGATGAATTCTTGATGTAATTGTGGGAGATGTGCAGGAAAACAGGGTATTAGACGCTGTACAAGAATACCTGGAAGACTTTTAATGGTTGACAATATACAGGAAGCACAGATACTCAGCTAGTACAAATTAATATAGTTATGCTGACATCAGGGAAGCTGTACCAGTTTGTAGAACTAAGAATCTGTCCTACTATCCACATGCAGTTATAAATCTAAACGGTGAATGCATTTTCAATGCTATGCTGTGGTCACTCACCTTTGAAATGAATCATTTCATAGTTTTAAACATTTAACAATGTTTCAAACCACAGAGAATATTTCACTTCTCTTCTAAATGTTTTCAGTCTGGTTTTCATTATCATTTACAAAATGTACTATGACATTTTCTTTACCTCAGAATGCAAGTTTGTGTGGGTTTCCCCTATGGAATTGTCACAAATAAATCACGACGATGCTTTTTTTTTTTGAGCACCTTTATGTGCTGAATATTTTCTGGTATTTCCATGAAGCTAGTAACTCTTACCATACCATGTTGTGATTCATAAAAACTTTGGTAGGTTTTTACTAGTAATTACTTACTCACCCTAATGTAGACATCCCAATCTGAGCAAAATCCACTCTCCGTAATCAGTGCGGTGGCATTGTCACTTCATGTTCTTGGTTCCTTTGTGCTTTTCTATTGTTTCCCCATACCAGGCTTCTTGGCGGTTTTATTCTACCGACACCAGCCGAACAAACCTGACAGCCACCTGGCGATATTATGAAAGTATTCTTCCTCCCCTCAGGCATGTATCAGTGCTATGAATGATAAAAGAAAGCCATGACTTGTATTGGTTACTAATCTGCTTTTCAATTTTTTGTTTCATCCCCTGCTCCCTCTTGCCTTGTTTTTCTTTTTTATCATATATCCTGCACGTAGTGTGTATGGCGTAGTTATGCGGCTGATGAGAAATCGGTTTCCATTGCTACCTGGAAGCCTCATTTGAAGGCCTTGCATACCTGCAGCCCTACAAAGTAGGTACAAATATGGCAGCTGGTGCTGTTCTTGATGTCTGTTCAAGCTTATAGAGAATTACTATTTGTCTGTTTTGTCTTGTTTTGTCTTCTTAAGTCCTCTCACCAAAAATGTCAACTAACAAACCAGACCAATGTTATTTAGGATCCTAGCACAGTGGGACAAATCACTTTCATTTATCATCTAAGAAGTAACTCTGAGCACAGGCATTAGAAACATTTTACCAAATAATAATAATAATAATAACAATAATAATATATCAAGGTTAGTGTTTCACTACTATTCATACCAGCTGTGCATATATACTCGTTAATAATCATAGTCCCATTTTGAAGTTACACAGATTCATCCTAAGTGCCACTGGTAAAGATATATTATAATTTGTAACAGATCTATAGAATACACCTATTGGATAATGCTACATGTTGACCAAGCAAAAATGTCTCCCTACAATCTTGAAACTTTTAATCCTGAACCAAATCCTGGTATAAATTCACATGACTCCATTTAAAACACAAGTTTGCTCCAGGTGAAGATCAGGGCTGAAAGGCTGTGCCTAACCTGTGGGACCAGGGAACACCCCTCAGTCCCAGCTGCACATGCTGACAGCACTGCAAATGAATATTGGGGGGCCAAACAGGTGGGCTGCTCTCCTTTAAACCCTTGTTTTTATGGGGCAGAAACACAGACTGCACTTCAGTGAAATTTAGTTGATCGAGAACCTGGATGTGGGCAGGGCAATGGAAGTTGCACCTTCCTCTTGCTCTGGAAGGAGGATGAATAACCAAAAGCAGACTCACTGGGAAGCTCAACCCTTAATGATTTGTTCCTGGCATGAACCTCTATTTTGGTCACAGATAGCAGCAACCATTTGAGCAAATATACACATGGATACAATTTTTCCTTTAACCAATGCAACTTGCCCAGTTTCAAATTATATCTAATGAAGAAAATATTAATACAGGGCTCATTTCCTGAGTTAAAAACTATTTTCACACTCTTTGACTAGCCTGTGCTTCTATAAAAGACTATAGCTATAGAACACATTTCTAAAGGAACGTAGCCTTGTGGCATTTTGCAGATGAGTGCACTGGGGAAATTCCTGCTTTTTGTCATAACTTCTGTTATATTCAGTATCTCCTTAGGGGAAATTATATCCTCAGATATATACCCAGTCAGTGGAAGGTAACTAAAAACTCCTAATATCACAGCCTGGCAAACAGAAAATATTCAATGTCATAATTTGGGTGAGAACCCACAGAGCACTGGTCATCCAAGACCCTTCAGTAGTTCAGCTGAAGATTTACCAGAAGGTAGTAAGGTGACTGATAGGGCACAAATCAGGAAGTAAACGAAACTCAATAAAGATCAAAAAGGAATGAAATAAGAGCCTTATGGGAAAGCTCTGATAAGCATCCTAACTGTTGTTATTGCAGACAGTGCAAGAGAATTAGTGGTTTCTCCCAAAGCTGGGTGATGAACATCCACATGACAGTAAAAAGGTAATTCTGTGCCAAAAAGCTCAGCCAAAAAGAGGTTTGGCTGGGTACCCAAAGCTGATCTTTGAATTTCAAAGAGTTGACAAGAACAGAGCCATAAGTAATCCATTACCATAACCATAATTCCAAAATGCTTCAAACTAAAAGGAGCTTTTAGATTAAAAGTTACATGGAATATTGATTTTGATAAACCTGTAAATTTTTTTGACATATACAAACAGGTTGAAAGCAGCATTGATATAAGTGAATGGATATAAAAAATACATAAATAATGAAGTTGTATCCAACCTAAAATATTCTAAAATATGACTGTCCCTCAAAAGCGCATTTAATTGTAATTTTAAATGAGCCTATTGCTGTGATATCCTAAAATTAAACCTTTTTATTTACCAGAGATAACTTTATCTAATAAGAGCCTACAGCTTTCTGTTATATATGTGTCAGCAATGCATTTTGCCTAAGTGCTTTGCCAACTCAGTCTGCAGTGGTATGTACTAAGCATGTTATGCATGTTTTAAAACAACTGAAAAGTTTATTTTTTTCAGAAGCATTGTAGTTATGAGTCTTGCTTGAATGTCTTTGTGGTTGCAATGTAATGTGTGTATTGTACACTAATTCACACATCCATTTACGTTTAGCATATGTCTAACATCATCTGTAACTGAGAAATCTGATTACTATCTGCATAACAAATATGTTTTTCCCTCCCACTCCCTGACCTGAAGAAAAGAACAAGGGGAAGCTTCTAGCAGGTTTGTAGTTTCTTTTATTCCTTTTATCTTTGAAATCTCTGCTTCTTAAAGGCTTCTCTGCACAATAGGTTCAATAAACTGTAACTGCTGATAATAGTTACAAATTGCAATTGTATTTAACTTGGTTCGATAGAGCAATGATGCTGAAATTTGCTTCTTTGTCCTAGTTCTTGTATGGAAAAAATAGGCAATTTTTTACTTTTCTAAGTACTAAGTACATGTTGAAGTGTTTTAATGTGGAGGGAGAGCTCAGTCGGAGCTGTGGCAGTAGTGAGTGAAGCAGCCCCCACAGACCCTGCTCCTGGGGGGGGACCTGCCCACTGGCTCCTGCAATAAAGCTGATGCCATTTCCAGGATCTGCAATGGAAGGCACAGGCATGTAGCATAATTTGGCTTCATGAAACAGGGCATCAGCCCTCTGCTGCAGAGCACTTCTGTTTGTCACCCAGCCTGGATGCAGTCTGAGGACTGGCTGCTTGCAGCATGCAGAGTCAGGACTATCTTCATTTGACAAATAAAGCCCCAGAGATGCACAGTCTAAAGGCAGTAAGTGGTAACACTACTCTTTTTTTTTACTTATAGCTTGAATGCTTAGGGTCAGGAAAGGACTTGGTGGCTGCAGAAGAAATTATGCTGCCTCCAAAACTAGTTAGGGATGGGAGTCAGCAGGTGTTGGGCAGTCAGCACTCCAGGAAAGCACAGTTGGAAGACAGTGGGATTTGCTTCCAAGGAGAAGATTATCAAAAGCCCAAAAAATGTTTCAGTGACACATCAAGCCCTGAAATGCATCCACGCCTGAGTTGTACTGTGGTTCACAAACTCTTTTTGGTTATTTAATTATCTGTAAGGGAGTCTGAGCACTTCATCACCTAAAATGCAAAAATCACATGGAAAGTCTTTGCAGAAATTGCCTATGTCCCATTTTTCAGATTGCTCCTGAAGTACACGTAACTGCTGTTGGTATGACAGTATCTTGAGGTGACTGGGTTTGCTTTGAAATGTCCCCTGGGAGAACTTTTCCTACTCTGACTTTTGCAAGAAAGAGTCACTGTCAGTTCTGTTAATTTTCACATGCACTACCTCTAAAGGTTTGCTGGCAATGCATTGATCTCATTAAATTATTACAGCCTGGTAAAAATTTTTGCACTCGCCAGCCATATTTCCTACTCTTTTGACAACAACATTTAGAATTACTTTCAGCTTTTTTAAAGGTGAGACAGAAGTTGGCAGTGAGTATGTGCCTCCAAAATAGTGATCTGTGCATAAGAGAGAGCTTGAGAGCTTATTCCCAGTGGTATCCATGAGCACTTAAGGACATGAATTTACTTACAATAATTTGAAACTAGATTCAAAACAAAAAAAATGTCAAAGTTACATCACCTCTTCTTTATTAGGGATAACTGTTGTGGTTTAAAAGTTGTCGTTGATTTAGCCATATTTTTTCACTTTATTTTCACTGAATAAAGGATGTTTGTCCTTTGAGAAAACCTTAACTCCTATGTGCACTTCTGCATATTAGTGTGTAACAATAAACTTATTAACTTTTGAGATCCTGGTCTACAGTAAAAGCCTACAGACCACTCAGTGCCTTTTTTAGAAGGTGTGTTTTGTCAGTGGCCATTCATTGTTCTTATGCTGATATATTACTATATGTTTGTATCACGTAAAATATGTGTATGTTGTCTTCTGTAGTAAAAATGTAAATGCAAAGTGATGTGATGTACTTAGATTTCCTCAACTATTTAACTTCTTTCTTACTGCAATGCTGAGTGACTTGCATGGGATGCTATGTGAACTGCTTCTTGTTTCACTCTTAAATGAAGATGTGTTCGTTCAAGTAGTGCACTGGATTGCTTTCTGAATATGCTCTTTACTCTTTATTCCATTCTAATAACAGTGGAGAAAAACTCTTATTACCTTAAGTAAAAGCTGTTTTTTCTTTCCTACCAAAATGAATTTTATATTTACAGAAACGAATTCTTGCATTTTGTCATCCATAGACTTACGGCCTTTCATTAAGCAACTAAATGTTGCTGTCTGGGTTAAGAGAACCACACTTAGGATGCTACAGCTTCATACTGATTTTAAGAAAAATATGTTCAATGCATTATATGTCGTATTTCTTAAAATATTATGCATAAACATTCTAGTTAATTGTTTATCAAAAGCAAGTGTGGACAACTTTCTGGTGTATCTATGTCAAAAATTGAGATATTTCTCTAGATCCATGCTAGAGTTCTGCAAGGTATTTAGAAAGCCCATATATGTTAAATTGTCTATTTCTATAAATACACACTGAACACAATTAGTTTTTATTTTTATTCAGTTATACATTGTGGCTGAAATTCTTCCTATGCAAGGAATGAGGTCAAGACCAGTAAAACTTACAGCATCCTGAGAGCATAAAGTCTTAGGCTGTGTGTAGGACATGCATTGTGTCTGCAAAGAATGAATTTCACCTGTCTAGTTTAGCCTTCTTTTAGCTTTGTAAGTAGTGAGCCTGAATACAAATTCCCTACTTAGAAAACTCTCTCTGGTGCAATAAGGAAGAGCTGCAAGCATAGGTGTTTAGGGGTGAAAAAAAGTCATCCCTGCTCTGAGAGAAGCATGTAAATTGTACTCTGGAATTCTCTCCATCTACTATCTCATAGCTGTTTCTAAAAGTAGATTTAATGTAAATTATTATCTCTGCATGTGCTGTATTGAAAAGAAATTGCCAGTGATGAAGAATCTTACTAGAGGTGGAAAGCCTAACCCCTCACCTAGCAGTGGAATGCATAGTAACATGGTCCTCTATCTCCCCTCACTCCTAGTAAGCTTTGTAGTAATAAACAGAAGCTCTTCAGGATGTACACCCCTCGGAAACATAGGTATTCAGCATCCTGCCTATTCATATGATGTTTGAGAATGCCAACTAACATCAGGTGCATGATTCATTTATTTTCCCCTCCTTAGAGCTTTAAAGTTCCTTACTTCTCCAAAAGACATTTCCTGATTTTTTTTTAAGTGCTCATAATTCCCCTTGCTGCTTGTTGCCTGCAATGACATTAATGGCAATAATAACTGTTCTTTGAAATACATATGGTCAAATAATTGCAGTGTGCAGCACGCCATGATTTGCCAAAGCCCAATTTCCCTTCTCTGCCTGAGACTTGAACTTTTGGAATGTATCACTCTGTAGAGATCTAGAACAACATCTGAGTATTTAGATAAAGACATTTCCCCAAGTCCAAGAGGATTTTTACAACCATGGCAGTTGAGTTGTCCATCTAATAATTAGTGGGGAAAAATAAGATATAACATGCTCATCAATATCAACAGTTAAAATGTGTAATAATTATTGGGAAGAATCCCCTTGGACACAGCCTGTGGAAGATGTGCCTGCATCATATACTGGAGGGTGAAGGAATGCATGTGAAATCAACCATCTGCTTCAGTTGAATTCTGTTGAAACTGTGTCTCTTACCAAAAATGGTAATTCCTAAATGGATGGAACTTATGGGAACAAAAAAAAACAAAACAAAACTAAACAAAAAAAAAGTACAAACTGATGCTAGTAAATGGAGGGGGAAAAAGTTTCTCTTTATCCAACACTACTTTAGGCAAAGTAAAAAAAAAAAAAAAAAAAAATTGTTTTGTTTTGTTTGACATTTGAACATTAAGACATTACATCCTTGGAATTCTTGTTATTACTCATTAAAGGTATGAGATATAACACTATGTTTCTTGGATTCAAGCTCCTAGCATAAGACTGGTGGAGAGGTTTTGTACATTTGAACTTCAGGCCTCATTATACTATCCATTGCATTTGTATTTGTCCAACTTAGCTTAATTTCCATAAAGTCATCTGTATCTTGGTAAGAATCAGCATCTGTATTCATTAGAAGTTAACTGCTGAAAGCAGACATGCACTTTTAATTGCTGTTATTTGTCATGGGTGATAACTTTTGTCAGCTTTAGCTTCTGTTTCAACTTGACATCTGAAGCATTCTTTCTCACCCTTAGACCTTCAGTTTACTTCTGAATAATTTCAATTTCTTCTTATTTACACTTCCACCAGTCTGCTCAGTATGAAGTGCTGAGAAATTAATCACAGATTGTTAACTACTGGAAAGCAGTAGTGCTGCAGGTCTGAGGCTGAAGTGGGGCAGAACTTGACCAGAAATGTAGGAAGGGAAATAAGGGAGTTGGACAGGGAGGCAAAGAGATGTTCTGTTACCTGAAAATTATAGTAAGATTGTCAATCAAAACAGACAGAACTGTGAGTACAGAAGAGAAAAACAAGAGTTTGTTGGCATTTATCAGTTAAAACATAATCTAAAGTCTAGTCATTTGGTCCACCACAGTGTTTGTTCCCCATGCAGTGAAGCTACAGTGACCTCTAGTGTCTCTAAACACCTATTCTTTCATAAATCAACGATAAATAAGATAACATTTAAAGAAATAAAAGTTACAGTCTTTTACCATCACAGGGAAGTGAGAGGCTCATCCATGTATTGACAGGAGGAATGAGTGGTAAGATTCTGCAAGTAACCTTTCAGAAAGAAAAGAGAAAAAAAAATAGAGAAAAATCACTTCCATTTTTTCCAGAGGCTTCAGTAGTAATTAATCTCCACTAAAAGATGCTTCAAAGCTCCAGTGTTATCTATATGAATGTATCCCACAGCTTGCAACCTGTAAGAATAGAGGTCCAAAGAGATACTGTTTGCAGGGAAGATTGTAATAGAAAGTTAATAAGTACATAAACGAAATGGAATAAACTATCAGTCACATGAGGTACAAGAAGTGATGGACAGAGACATGTCTGAAGGAATACAGAGAAAACTGGAAATAGCTGTGGCTCTCTGCAATCCTTGTCATTTAAGTCTGATTCAAGAACCTGTATAATTTGAGAAAGCATTTACACATCAATATTCCCAATTGTTCCTAATGGTTCTTGCCTTTTGGACCAGCATTCAAGTTAGGGAGTACTTACAGAGATATGTAAATGTCCAAGGGCATTAACAGGTTTACTTTAATTTAAGGGATTTCCTTTGGATATCTTGTAAAAGGAGAGGAGAAAAGGGAAAATAATATATATATATACACACATATATGTATCTATAACAGGCTAAGCCCTACAAAAAGTGAAGGATTTTTATTAGGGCACTGGACAGCACTAATCCAGCCATCATTAAAACCAAGTAAAGTGCCATAAAGGATTATGTGGCCATTGATGCATGTGCAGAATGCCCAAAGGTACTTGAAAAGGCATAAGATTATCTCCATTCTGTATCTCTAATACTGTTCCCACCACTATTGCAACAGAGAATCAAGAGCCAAGAACTACATAACCCATAAGTGAAGGGACTTTCACTGCGGGAAAAAGCCTGGCTGGGATGCACCTAAAATGCTCTGATTCAGTTATTTCTACATGATACATTATTTATCTCATTATTTATCTTATTTATCTATAAAGAAGAGCCCCAAGGGCAGCAGCTTTTTTCTCCCAGGCTCCACTGGGAACTCTCCTGGCTCTCACTTCTCCCAGTGATTCTCCACTGCTGCAAGTCCTCCAATTTATGCCTGCGCTGAATAGGACCCAGTGGCTTTAGGAACATTTCCCACCAGTCTCAAAATAGGAACAGGGATCCAAGAGCGAACAACTGTTATAACCAACGTCTTTGGAGAAACTCTCAAGACTTCAAAACAGTTTCCAAACCAGGCTTTCTTCAGAGGCTGCGTTTCTCTTCATGATGCAGCATTCTCTGCATGGACCCTCGGCATGCCATTACATTGCCATTGCTACAAAGCAGATTTATTTTTTTAAAGTGTGAGGTCTGCATTTAAAATTAATATTTTCATTCTCAGTGTTGCACTTCTGCAAATGTCTCTAGTACAGATGAAGTGTCTACTGTTCCTTTCACCATTGCTTTGATTTGGAGAACTAAAGATATTCAGGTTAAGTAGCCATTGTGTGCGGTTCAGTTTTTATAAATGAAATAACCTTGTGTACAAAACATTTAAAGGCAGCCATTGCTTACATTAGAACAAATTAATTAACATGTGCTTTTTTTCATTTTTCTATTTTAATTTTCAGTTTGCAGCTGCTGAGACTATAAAAAAAATATATGGTCCATGCTGATCTTTTTTATGTCTAGATTATCAATTTTCCTTTCATTTTAATTGATGCAAGGGGAAGAGAGCTGTCCAGAAAGTTTTTCCTTTTAACATTTGTCAAAAAAATATATAATTTGATTTCATTTTCAATATCAAATATAATTTGAGCCATAAGAAGAGTAAAAAAAAGCACAGGGGACACATGCATAGAAATAATACCTATAATAAGAAGTCCATTTTCAGTCTGTTTCTCATGCTGGATAGTATGACAATGCAATAATGTGGCTAATAAATATTTTCCAGCTTATACTTTCATTAAGTAGTACAATGCAAATGATTCCTGAGCTGAAATATAATTCAGCCTTGAAATGTAATTTTTATTGAAAATTAAATTTTAGAAATCTCTTCTCTTTCAAACAATAGGTTCTGTAGGAATTTTGTACTGAGCATGCAACAGCATATAGCACTGCAGGTGTGGGTAACAATTTTCAGTGTAAGTAGATGACATTTCCAGCACCATCATGTGTTTATTTCAACAATTGCTTACTTTGGGCAAGGGAAGAAGGGGTTTGCATTCAGAAATTATAGAGAAGTTATTCTTTCAAGTGATTCACCATGCCATATAGAAATATATTTATCTAGTAATCTTCCTATTTATGCACTTATTTTTTAGCATTCTTGAAACTTATTTGTAGCTTCCTAGCATGTGCTTTTGCCTGCTACAGATTGCATCCTTTCTGCTCTCATTGATGTTTGTATCCAGAATGAAATGCTATGCTATGCTATGCTATGCATGGACAAAGATATTTGATTATCTCAACATTTCACAGCCACAGAAGTTTATAATTACATTCAATTTCATATAATTACATATTAACACTGTATTTTCAGAGTGCAGTTGGTTAAACATCTAAGAACCACACAGTACATTTTACCATCAGTTAATCAGCAGTAGAATTCATTTCTGTTGAAAACATATCTTATGGGTGTGCTGAAGTGCAAGGAATTTGAGGGTACGAGAGAGAGTTTTAACTTCAAGTACAGTTATAATTTGCGAGTAGACAGTCTTTGCTCTAGGTGTCCTTAAAAGCATCCCCCCAAAGCCTATGCCAGTGCAGTAGGACTGCGAGACCATTAACAGCATACTCTGAGCAGCTACTGCTTTGCTCACTTCATCTCTCCCCTTGCAAGAACAGGACTGTTGATGAAGATGACCATTCCCTTGTACAGGTGATTGAACTTAACCTTGTAGATAACGCAAGGTCTCCAAAGCAGGTATAAGACTTCATTTATATTTTTCCTTTGTGCATTCTGCTTCAGAAAGCAACAGACAAGAGCAAGGCTAAATAATGGAAAAGCATAAGCATATAGTTAGGGTGACCTCGGCATGTTCATCATGCGTGTTTGAGCATAGACAAAGGTAATTTGAGCACTGAGAAACTGTACATGTCCCACATTTGGCTGATGTGGGAGGGAAAGTTATAAGCACAGAAGGGAAAAAACAGCTTACTCTTGGCCGTTTATAAGGCCACAGGGCCACCTTTGGTCCAGCAGTCACAGCCATGACCTTGGTTGGGCTGTGGTGGCTGTCCTAAAGTGCCTTTAGGTGCCAGTAGCACCTGCAGGTAACAAGCTCCCAGCTTAACCTCCAGCAATGACTTTAGTGAGCACACAGGGAAACATTATACTTCCATTCATCTGTCATCGCACTTTTTCATGGATGTTTTGTTAATTTTGGTTCTGTCCTGTCCAAGTAAGTGCTTAACAAGGAATTCTGAACATGAGTGATCACTAACAATGCATATGAAATGTTGGAAGTGCCACATCTTGAAAAAGCATGAGTGTCCTAACCGTATTCTTGCCTGATTTATAAATAAATAAATAAATAAATAAATAAAAATAAAATACATGGCATGCAGTAATAATAGAGTACATTTTGCTGTTGTTTATCTGAAGAGATTGTCAGAAATGCACTGAGCTGGGCTGACTAACAAGGAAATAAGCTTATTTAAAATGCAAGGAATAAAAAAATATATACTAGAGATTAATCCATAATAATTGGGTTAAAGTTGTTTGATTTTTTGTTGTTTTTAAATTTAATTTCCTGTACAAGATTATTCTGTACTGTAAGGTAGACCATTACTGATAATGCCTACATCAAAAAACAATTACTTCAAATCAGTTTCATTCCCAAATGATATATATTCAATGTAAATAGAAGTGTATAAGAAACAGATTTATGCTATTAAGAATTTTTAGAAAATATTTTCAGTTATCTTATTAAATGAAAGAAATGGAGTGGAGGAACTATGAAATAAAGCCCTTTTCTCTTCTTCACAGTCAAAAGTTGAGTTTCAAAGAGCGGGTCCGGATGGCCAGCCCACGGGGTCAGAGCATAAAGAATAGGCAGTCTTCAGTGGGAGACCGCCGGTCCCCCAGCGCTGACATCGCCACCGAGGGCAGCCCCACCAAAGTGCAGAAGAGCTGGAGCTTCAACGACCGAACCCGCTTCAGGCCCTCGCTGCGGCTGAAGAGCTCGCAGCCCAAACCTGTGGTGGACTGGTAGGAGTTTGTCATGCCCCCTTTTTCCACTGTGTGTTCTTCCCGACCTGCTCACATGCCTGTGCTGTGAATGAGACACATATCGGTAAAGCAGGAAGAATCTTTATTTTAGGGCAGTTACCAAAACCTATTTCCAGAAAGAGATGTGCTAGTAGGTGCTTTAAGTTTTACTCCTTACCTTTGGGGGATTGTATCAGGTATGGGGAGGTAAGTGTCTTTAGCAAACTAAACAAGTGTTAACTGCTTTTATGTATTGCCCTCTGAAGGGTATTTTTGATGTGGGAAGGAACGGAACATAGCCTTCCCTGAACGCTGCCTCACCAGGGAAATGGATGCTGCCCCTCTCTGCTCTCCCACCTAGAGAGGTCCTCTCTGGCATCAAAACAGCCACCTCTGAGTCAAAGATCTTCATCTATAGAAACTTACCAAAATGAGGGCAGTGATACCCCTAACCAGGGAGCACTGAAGCTGGTGACAGCGGCCCTCTAACAGGCTGTAGCCAAGGGTGTCAGATGAGCTCACATTTTGTAGAAATGGTCCTGCACTGAAAGATGTCTTCGCAAAGCTCTGGGTGCTACCACTCTCCCAGCAGATCTGTATTTCTACGTTGACGTTTTTCCCAGCTTACAAATGTTTTGTTCTTTCCTGTGGGAGCCCCAGGCAGAAAATACAAGAAAACTGACGGGCTATGACAGGAGGCAGTGGTGCTGGCTGTACGGGAAAGGTACAATGTAAATCAGCTGATCAAAGAGATGTAAATGTAAACTCTTTGTACAATGGCAATCCCACATGTTATGCCTAACAACTGGGGTAGAACTATTCAGGTGGGAGTGTAATTTCACTGCCCACTTCCCTTTTGGAGCACATGTTATCACAGACACGTAGGTTGCAAAATGTCCACTGAACTGAAATGCCCCATCCCTCAGCTGAGAATGTCCTGCACGACACATCTCTTCAGGAAAAGCCTGGGTAAATAAACATTTCCTGGAGGGCAAACAAGACAAACTTACGGTGTTTGCTAAGGTCATCACTCCAGGCAAGCCCTCCCCCGTGGAGAGCTCTCAGATGCACAAATCCTGAATTTGGCTGACTTACAATGAGCTACTGGGGTGTACCAGGCACTACTCGATGTCCAGGCTGCATTCCAGGTTGCTTGCCACCCCCTGCTACTTTCTGGGGCATGGGCCCTGGCTCCTGTCCCACAGAAGCCGCCTCACCTGGGGTGTGTGATGTGATGCCTGCCTGGGTCTGACTCTGATGTGGAGCAGGGATGAGGCCACTTTCTCAGAAATGGGAAGTGAGAAATGCTCTAAGTACCAGAGTGAGGTTCAAGATACCCTTTCTAAATGTAGGCTTCCTACGTAATCAGCAGTATAGTGCAAGTATCTCCCAAAATACAAGCCAGAAGTGATTTCATAGGTTAAACCCCCATAACTTGCACTACGCCTGGAAGTGAACTAAGAAGAGAACAATCTGTTGAGCACCCTCCCAGGGTATCAGCGGCTCACTCCTGTTCCAGTCCCTCAGCCTGCACCTCACTCAAGTATCCATTTACTTTTTCATCAGCCCATTTGTCACAGAAACACTTCCTAAGTGTCGTCCTGTGGTTTGCCCTGTACAGGCTGTTGTTTATAGCAGTGATCTGCATGAAAGTTCACCTCTCCTATTGCCTCTGATAGAAAAGGTGGCATAAATGGCAACTTGGATACTTCTGTAGATAAATGATAATAACAATAACAGAGACCTCACTGCCCTGCGTAAACCCTTATAGATCTTTCCACTCCTCAGGGTGAGCCCAAGCTGTTTCCTTGTTAGCAGTTTCCAACTACTTAGTCCACCCTTATGAACTAGGGCCAACAGATATGACCAATTTCTCATCCGTGGCAGAAGGAACAGTCTCCATTGTCTCCAGCTTTTAGGCAAATGCCAAGTTTCCACTCTGGGACCCGGTCCAGATACTTCTAGGAGTGCTATCATCAGACTGATGTCCATTTTGCTCATTGCTGACAAGCAGCTCCCTGCTACATTACCCAGTCCAATGAAGGAAAAGACAAGCACTACCAACCATGATGATTTTTTTTTTATTTTTTTTTCCATTTGTGTTACCTTTTTCATAGTCTGGTCCACTTTGACAGCTCAATTGAAAGGATCTGGAGACTACGTAATTAGTTTAGAACATCTTGCATATTTTCACTGGATGAAAACATGATATTTGCAGCATTTTAGTAATATCTCTCAGTTGTCAGATCCTCCAGTTTCCTTCTGGAGGTATTCTTTGGCCAAAGGATCAATTACTTTGGTGTGCTGAGCCTCCAGCCAAACTAGAAGCCACCCATTTCTACATGGAAGTCTACATGGAAGTCTGGAAGGCTTAATACCCTTAAGCAGCTATTTTTTCTGGTGTTTCTTTTCTCTTTACACCATGTTTAAGGGGAAAAGATGTGACATTTGTCCCTTTTGACAGAAGCAATATGGTATAGGTTAACCAGTGCAGGGTCAAAAGATTATATCAGCATTCTAATGGAAACACAGCCTTTCACTATGAACTTCACCTTTCCAAAGAGAATACATTCAGATATTTGGAACAGGATCCCCAAGGAGCCTGGTCACAGCACCAGACTCTCAACAGCACTCAACAACACTCTCAGACGTATGGTTTAATTTTTAGGTAGTTCTGTGTGGAACCAGGAGTTGGACTCAGTCATCCTTTGGGGTCCCTTCCAATTCAGATTATTCGATGATTCTATGATTTGCTTGACTTTTCTTTAGCTGTATGGACTTTAGAGTTGCAAATGATCTTCAGTCAGTGCAGATAGAGGAGGAGCTACCTCTTTATGAAGGTGAAGCATACTGAACGCCACAAAAATAAAACAGAGGAGCAAATGCATGAGTAGAAGGTTCAGAAAGAAAGTGAAATTGTGAACTGTGTGAGAGTGATCCATGGCAGATAGTTAACGGAGAGATTTTGCAGGATTGACTGAGTTCACCCTCATAAAGGACATGGTTGGAATCTGGGCCAAATCAATCAGAAGGAGACTGCTAGAAAAACTAAACATGAGCAGCTAGGAACTGTCATGTAAAGGAAGGTTTCTAATTCAGACAGGAGCTTACAGAGGTAGCTAATAGGCTCACATGAGTGAAAATGTACTAGCCTTCCACTTGGGCTACACATTAACAAAAGCTTACAAACACCCCCCTGCTGCATATTAAAACCCCTGAAGGAGGGTTACTTGTCAGAAAGCAGAACACTTCAGCTGGCCACAGGAACCTCCCGAAAGGATTTTGGCATAGCAGTCTTAGAGCAGCATGACCAAAACTGTTGCACAAATGCCTTTATTTATGGGTAGCGACAGTCCTCTGAAACTGCCTATAAACCATTTATTGCTCTTGCCAAAGTGGGCCTGGCAACTGCAGCAATTATTTCAGCTACATATGTGCATTTGCAAATTGAATCCAAACCTGAGAGAGCTTTGATGGCTGGAGAGAGCTTTGGTGGCATGGCTGCAGACACTCTGGAGCATTTAACAACAGTGCAAGGGAGCTAAATTGAAAATTAAGACTTATGTAATCTGATTTTAAAAATATGCCCAGTCTCCAGTGAAATGTGCCTTGCAGCTGCCAGAACTCTTGTTGAAGATGAGACCTGCAAAAATTAATTAAGGTGCCAGGATGCTGTATTTCCAGACCCTGTTATCAGTTTAGAAGGGACTTATCGCTCCTAAGCAGATCTCATGGAAGTCTTCACCACTCAACCTCCAAAGGCTTCAGGAATGGTAAATAGTCAAGTTTTACAAAGTGTGAACTGAAAAGGATCTGAGACACATCTGAGAATATTTTACCAAATGGTGAAGGGATAAGAAATTGTGTTGCTTATAGGGTCATGCCAAAAGAAGTCTTCCCAAAAGAAGGTGCTTGAATCACTGGTGGCTGTTCAGCTTGTGCACGGGCATTGAATGAAGGTGCTGGCTGAGCCCTAAGCTGCACAAGCTGGGACACACTCCTGTCCCCATGTCCTCCTCACACAGTTTGTGTCCCTGCCCACCAGAAACAGGGACCCTACACCCAAGCTGCCCGTGGGGAACAAATGGCCTCAGGCACATGAGCGGTGGCCGGTCACTGCTGCCGGGAACACCCACTGTGTCAAGCAATTAAATAATTGGGCTTTTTTCTGCTTGCTTCTTTTTGTGAGGAACAGCACCTGCTGAAATACTGCTCCAGTCTTGCATGGCCACAGCTTTAGTAATGAGTTGATGTTATGTTGGGCATGCAGTCCTCAGGCAGGGACAGAAATGCCCTGCTGCACTTGAACACGACTGCCCCATGCTTCTAAGCCTCTGCATGAGTTATTGTGCATTTGCTGTAACCTAGAGATGTTGTGTGGCTTTTTGAATAAAACATCAAAAGCGTTCAGCACTGGAGATATTACAAACATATTTCATTTGATTAATTAAAAAGAACTCTCTAAGGAAATATTTGATTTCTGCAGCATCCCTGAACATTATAAGCTCACATGACCTCTAGCCTTTCATTCCCTACAGAGTACTTGCTCAAAATCCTCAGGGTAGAGTATATTACAAGAGCCATGGAAAGAATGCAACTGCGCATTTCAGCCCCCGTGTCCTCAGTTACTACCATGTAATTTATGTATTGCAAAAATGACAGGTTTTCCTTTCAGTAGCACAAACATCTTGACCTCATAGATGGTTCACTTGAAGTGGCAAAGGTCCTTAGTTTAGTTGCTTTTGGATCTTGTTTAGCTTAAATTTGCTGATTCAAAATGAAGCTGTGTGATGTCAAAACAAAGCTGCTCAATTTGTACAACCCAATGCAATGGGACTAAATGACATTTTATTAGCAATCTATCAATTTGTGCTGGACAATAGATTTATTTTTCTTGTGATGGTTTAACTCAATGATAGAGCTCTCATTTATTACAGTTGTAACTAGTAACGAACTAGGAAGATCTTAAAAAATAATCTCACATTCTTATCTGAGCTC